TGTATCCATCTTTGCCTACTTGTATGTCTAGTATGTCCTAATACATTCCAAATGTATTATCTTGAGTAGTACTGTGTTTGAAAATATATCAGTCTTGCTTTGAATTCTTTTATTTCTTTCTACCCATACTTCATCCATGTGACAATTTTTTTTATTCCCCAGTAACAACATGGGTAATGAGTCCATAGCTCATCACTTAGAAGTCATGTCAGAGATGATTCGTAGAGACAAAAACAAACCCTCTGTAATCATGTGGTCAGTGGCCAATGAGCCAGACTCTTCAAGACATCTTGCATTGAATTACTTCAAGTGAGTTTAGGAACTCAGTTTTGTTTTCTGACTGTGACTTGCATGTGTTGTTCTTTAATTGTTTTGATATTCATAAAGGAAATAATATTACTTTAATGCTTTTCAGAACTGTCATTCAATATACTAGAGACAATGATCCAGCTCACAGACCTGTAACATTTGTTTGTTCCTCTTCCTACAAGAATGATGTTGCGGTAAGTTAACTCATTGCACCTATTATTGAGTCCTTTCTTTTTTCATCTGTCCTAATTTTAAAAAATATTTTTTTTATGAATATGACAACTGTTATCAGAACGCTATTAGTGAAGGTGAAGAAGAATTCTAAAAAATGTGTAAAATATTTTCTTAATTTGCATCCATTATCTTAAATAGTTCTGTAGTAAAAATTGCAAATCAAGTTCACTAACCTGCAATCATGTTCTAGAATCAATTTTTGATGTTGAGCTGCCTAGCTGTTTATTTGAGTTAATGCCACTGGGTCATAAATATTGCACAAATATTTCTTATAACTTTTCTTTTTTAATTTAGAAATGAAAGTTATGCATTTAAGTGTTTTCAGTTAAATAAATTAATAGGACTGTTAACAATTGTGCTAGATCTTTTATTTCAATATCTTTTATCCTGAAAAATTATTATCTCCCAATAAGTCCCTCAGAAGTAATGCAAAGTAAAGTAAATTTCCCCTTTTAGACCTTACGATCTATAAAGCAGATGATGTAAAGGTCATCTGTTTCTGTAGCCTACTTTAAATGAGGGTATCATGTGGCCAGCACAATGACCAACCACCTTTACTTTTCCCCAACTAATGTTAGGTAACCATTAGAGCTGGGTGGACTCAGAGGCGCCCAAAGATCCCAAAATTAAAAATTCCAGTCTTCATCAGGATTCAAACCTGGGACCCCCAAGGCCGTTATCCCTCCGCCACCATGCCTCCTTCCCCTCCTAGAAGTGGCTAATTTGATATTATTCAGAAGTGGAAATTATTAGAAATGGCTGAATGGCTAAGAATGACAAGTTTAAACTGCTACTTCACAATATCAGATTAGTATGCTTATGAAATTGTATTACTTTTATTACAGTCCTTTGTCAACATAAGTTGTATAAATCATAGTTTAAAAACCATTACAAATGTGTATTATTCTCGGCCAGGTTCAGTTTGTGGATGTAGTTTGTCTCAATAAATACTTTGGTTGGTATGAGGATACTGGCCATTTGGAGCTTATTCAGCGCCAACTCCATACATGGTTTGAAGGTTTCAGAACTCTCCACAAGAAGCCCATCATTGTTACAGAGTATGGTGCAGATACAGTGCCAGGTTTACATAGGGTTAGTCTTGCTCACATTCTCACTAGTAGACATCATACTTCTATACACAATTCTTTAGTGAATGTGTTGAGCACTGTCTGTGTGTGTTTTTGTTTCCAGGATCCAAGCTCTGTGTTCACTGAAGAATATCAAGCAGAATTCCTTCAAGAGTATCACAAAGAGTTTGACATTGCAAGACAAGATTTCCTTGTGGGGGAAATGGTTTGGAACTTTGCAGATTTTATGACCCCTGATGGTAATTTGATAAATCATAGTCATAATGTAAAGCAATGCATTAAAAAACAAATATGTGCAAAGACTTGTAACTGACTATATAAAATGAAAATAATCTTGTACGGTAGATTAAATACTAAAATAATAGCATTGCTGGAAATCTGGATTTAAATTTCTTAGAAATAGAAACCACAAAATCTGTTTACAAACAATGCACTATCTAAATCATCTTTAAAAAAAAATAATTTTTTTTTAGTGCAATTGTTTTAAAAGTAATTGACTTTTGGCAAGGACTCTTTTAACCACTTGTTATTATGTCCTGACCAACACAGGTATAACCAGAGTAGTTGGGAATAAGAAAGGACTTCTGACCAGGCAAAGGGAACCCAAGAGAGGAGCCTTTGTTATTAGAGACCGGTATAATGCCATTATCAATGGAACAGCACAGACTTGCGGTTGCAGTCCTTCATCTAAATACTCTTCCCAACCTCACTCCTACCAGCATTCAACAAACCCTGACCAGATCATTGGATAATTCATAATTCTTATCATTGTTTTTTGTTTATTTTTATACTTTCTTAGCATTTAAATTACCTATTTTTTATTTATATACATATATATATATATAATAAGGCTTGTCCTTTTTATATAATTTATGATTATACAAAGTGCTTAAAAAATGCACCAAAACCATTGTGCTATATTTCGAATACAAAATTGATACCTTGTTGGTTCATTGATATTTACTGGTCATGGAACAAAACTTTCAGTAACATACCCTCACAAGAAAAAGTTGCACAGAGTGAGGTTAGAGAACCTCAGAAGCGCAGAGAGCAAGGTCCTTAGTTCTTTTTCTCCTAATCCAGAGCTTTTGGTAGAAATTTTCATATAAGATTGATGTTGTCCATTCCCTTACGTTGAGCACTTGTAAAGGATAAAGTAAAAACATGGAAGCTACATACAGCACCAGTGTCCTGTTAAGTATCAATGTTTTATTTTAGAAATATATTGCAATTGTTTTTGCTCATTCTTTTTCAATCCCCTTGTATAACAGGTTTTAGTCTTTTGTTAATTTATAAAATTGTTTTAGATATCTTTTGTATTTTAAGAATTCTTTATATTTTATTTTTTTAAAGTTAAGACTTTCCTCCCTTTGTTCTCTTGGACCATTTTCAACTGCCTTTTTCACCATTTTCTTGTACAACTCACTGCCACAGTATGCTGGATCCATTGCTTCATAAATAAATATGTTGAAGCAGTACAGTTTTTGCAAGTCTCCTCATCTTCAGTTCAAACTCAGGGTAATCTTTTTCTTACTGTGACCAAACAACTGAACTTTGATTGAATGGCTTGGCAAAGTCCTTGCATATTTTAAACATTGAACTTCTATGGTGTAAGCAAATCTTCATATATTGTATTATCCATGCCAAAAATTCTGTGACTTCTGCTAAATAAGACTACATAAATAAACAATAATTTTTGCCTTAATAATCAGCGGGTCCATTTACATAAAATTTCCTGTGCTAAAAGAGTGAATGTCTTATAGCATTTTATTATATCCATCCATCTGCACAGGTAAGTAAGCTTGGTTTGAAAAAAAAGTCAGTAATGTATTTGTTTTAAACAAAATATATTGTGCTAAGTATTTAATGAAGCTTCGTAGTACTTAATATGTTGCCACACATTACAGCAATAAAGGAAATCAACAGATACATGATACAGTGATCTACAATTGAATTAACAGTATTGAAAGGAGTTCTTAAGTTTCTTAATATTCTGAGGTTTGAGAACCATTGCTTTACTAGACACTTACACAGGGAACAAAAATTTACAACTGCATTCACAACAAAGAACAAGTAATATTAATCTCTAGTTTGTTTATCATCCTGTGTACCTATAAATTTTTGTACACTGAAACAGTATTGTTATCATTGAGCTGCATATTTTTTTATTAGAAATTACTTTATGTATTGATGAAAAAAATGTAAGCTTCTTTGATGAGCATTATTTTTGTCATAATTTATTTTTTCTTCATGTATGAAAAGTTTCCTGCTATAACAATGTAACCTTGCTATTTTTTTTTTGACAATATACAAAATGTTTATCATTTCTTTACACCTTAGTTTGTTTTGAGCTTATTCTTTATGACAAGCGGGTTTTTTTTAACGTTTATTTTAAAGGTTTTCACTGCATTTATGTTAATAATGCTTTGAAATATCTGAAAAATATACAATGTTTTGATCAATGCTTTTCAAATCTAAATCTATTTACAAATTGTGATAAGCTGTGGTCAATCTGTGATTACACAATCCTTACTTTTGAAAAATAAAATAGTTAAACTAAATGTAGCTTCATCAATTGTTTCTCAATGATATCTGTAAAAACATTCAGATAACTATAAGTTTTTTTAGTCTTCCAATTTTCTTACAATGTTCATGTTAATATTGCCAAATTTTAAGTTATTGTTTGAAAATGTTGTTGCCTTATACAGTATCTTTGTTTTGTACTAAAAATAAATATAATTTACATTATTTTAAAATTACAAATACTTACAAAGACCTAAAATGATGAAGACAGAACAATTTGAAATTTGGTTCAGAACCATTAATCCTTTAGAACCAAAATTATGCATAACCTGAAGGTCACATATATTGCCCTTATTGTGAAGATATAATGCCAAGTCTTTTTTCTAAGTTCTAGTACACATTTATTTTATTCTATTGTCCCATCACTTGTTTCTATACAAAGAAACCTGCCACTTTCTAAATTATTTTCGCTTCCCTGGGTTAAAAAATATGCTGGAAAATGTGTTTGTGTTTTTGCCCTTCAATGGTGCTTTGCTGTACTTATAAGTTATTATACATTCCTAATGCACAAATTTCTTGAAGGCAGTGTTTTAAAATATATATATTTGCTTGTGGTGGCTAAGTGGTAAGTGCCTGGCTTCCAAAGTGAGGGGTCTTGAGTTTGATAGACAGGGATTTTGAATATCAGAATTGTTAGGGTGCTCCAGAGTCCACCCTTCTCTAATGGGTACCTGACAGTAGCTGCGGAAAAGTATAGATGATCGGTCATTGCCCTGCTCTCATGACTCCCTCATTAACCAAAGGCCATAGAAACAGATGACCTTTACATCATCTACCCTGTAGATCAGGAAGACTGAAATAGATAGTTTACTTTTTTTTTTTTTTTTACAATATTTAAGCCTTAAACTCTGTTTGCCCAGGGTATTCTTTCACACATGACTCTCATGTTTCTTGCTTCCACATTTTATCAAACATGATGTCATCATTGAGATGTCATTGTAGCCATGACTACATGTCAGTGTGCGTCAAGAAATATGGTACTTGTAAAATTACATTTTGGTGAATTATGGAGTAATAAAAATGCATATTCTTTTTCACCTTATCACCTTGAATAGTTTTGAAACATTTATAGCTGTGAAATAAATTTTAAAAAAATAATTCTTCAAGACACGTCTTCTACCTAGAATCTTTTGTTGTTCAAAATGTGTTGTCTTCTCAAACCATTGGTTAGAAATCCATTATCCTCATAATGCCACTATTTGTTGCCTGCTCATGGTGTTTGCTTTGAATGGAGGACAATAATAATCTAGAGAGACTAGCCAAAAGGGTTATCTCAGTATTTCGAGACTTGGTCTGAATAAAAAAATTGCCACCACATTTTTCCCCCTACAAGTAGACTAACACATTAACTGATGGTACAACACAATAACTGAGGTCTAACACTTTGACTGATTGTATAACACTTTGACTGATGGTATTACACAATAACTGAGGCCTAATACTTTGACTGAAGTCTAACACAATGACTGAAGTCTAATCTGCTATTTTGTTCAATGGTCATCAACGTTTCAGACTTTCCCCTTACAGATGTAGATTATTATATCATAGCTGTAATCTTTTGCAGGAGTGTGTGTGGGATTTGATGAAAGGATCATTGTAATAGAAGTGAATATCAAATGATCAAGCAGCCATTCACGTCAATCTCCTGAATATCATAAGGTCATGCAGCCATTCGCATATATATATACATATATATATATCCTGAATATCATAAGGCCATGCAGCCATTCACATCAGTCTCCTGAATATCATAAGGTCATGCAGCCAATCACATCTATCTCCTGAATATCATAAGGTCATGCAGCCAATCACATCTATCTCCTGAATATCATAAGGTCATGCAGCCATTCACATCAGTCTCCTGAATATCATAAGGTCATGCAGCCATTCACATCAGTCTCCTGAATATCATAAGGTCATGCAGCCATTCACATCAGTCTCCTGAATATCATAAGGTCATGCAGCCATTCACATCAGTCTCCTGAATATCATAAGATCATGCAGCCATTCACATCAGTCTCCTGAATATCATAAGATCATGCAGCCATTCACATCAGTCTCCTGAATATCATAAGATCATGCAGCCATTCACATCAGTCTCCCATCAATAACTTAAGACACTGAATATTTTTTTCCTTTTTTCGTCTAAAATGTTTATTAGGTTGAATATATAAATACCATGTATACAAATATCAAAAGATTGGTCTCTACGTTTCTATGTAAATGAAATATCCAAACACTATCATATTTAGTACATGACCAAAGTGCGTTTGATTACTTAAGTCGTGTTCCTTGTATAGTCATATATTTATAGTCACAGTTGTTGCACTTTTCATATTATGAAATACACATTGCCTTTTCCATTTTTTAAAGCTAAAAAAAAAAAATAACTCAGGGTCTTAATTTTATAAAGAAAGTTTGTTCCCTTAGCATGATTTACAAAATATTTCCTCCTATTTAACTGTAACTGGCCAATTTGACAATCACAATTAAGTATAAACTAATTTGATATTTAAGTAGGCTAACGCAGCCATCGCAAAGCTAGAATGCAAACTGGCTATTGTTCTAATTCATTGAATACAGTCCCATGAAATGATGATCTGAAACGTGACTTTAGCAGACAGTGAGAGAAGCAAATAAACAAAAATCTGTCGTCGCGTCGTGCTGGAAATGTCACCATTCTTTTCTCAGATACTCCATCAAAAACTCTTTCTTGATCATAATGAGCTCACAGCCTTCACTGACCTGTAGAGATTACATACAGTCATAATAAGAAATTAATGTAAAACCTGTTGTGTAAATCACGCATTCAACATTGTAATATGAAGGAAAAGTCTTCCACCTATTAAGCATGAAACTATTAATTTTAAAAAGGTTTCTTAGACATTATGCCCAAATGTAAAGATAAAAAATCATAACTGTTTATCATTTCCCCCTTAACGATGTTTTTGATATCTATTTGAACATACCAATGACCAGTCCTCTGCGGGTGGTTCAAAGACTCCGTTGTTAAAATCCAGCCATTCATGGCCCTGGGGGTACAAAGAAAAAATAAAAGCACAACATCACGATTTTGAAGCTTGTAACAAAATACTGAACTGCTTATGTTACCTTACAACTAGGGATGTACCGGATAGCACTTTTTATATCCTGCCGGAGCTAGATATGACCGGGCAGTAAAATAAGATATCCGGATACCTACAGGACTTGTAAATAGCATTTGTTTCTAAACATTTTCAAAAACTGCAAAAACAAAAAAAAAAAAACAGGGGCGATTCCCTACTAGTAATTTTAACTTTTAACTAAATTTAAATACTCTGGACGTTTCATTTAGGGGCGAAATAGAAAAAACAACAACAAAACTTTACCACATAATCTCCCTTTACAAGTCTTCGGATGTGTTTCCATTTGGAGAACTGGTTAATGTTTCTGGAGGAAAAGAAAATACTAGACATCAGTATTGTAACGAGTCCCACTATCCAGGCTCTCTGAAACTGCACCACACGACACCACCAACTCGAAGAACTTTACAATTCAGGGCTCCAAAATAACGCAATACTCAATGTCCAATAAAGCACAGCCAATACTATACAAATGTTTCACCTTTGACATGCATACCTACGTATCAACTCTTGCACCTCTGTATCAAACCACTGGACTCTCCGCCTCGTGCCTGACGTCTACTGAGTTAACTTTTTCAAACTTACTTCGCAAACTAGGCTCGCTGTATCGGACTTAATCGTAGATCGTGACGATCTCGTATTCAGTTGCAGTTTTGACTTTTTCCCGAACCGAACCGTCGTAATAAGCCGTGTGGAACCACGCTTTACGGAACCGCACTGAACCTTCTTAATTGTGACTACTTCGCTCCTTATATAGATTCCTCTAAGGCCTTCTAGAACCCGACGGAACATCGCTCGACCCTTCCAGATGGACACTGAATGCTCTGACCTGCGTATTTTGTGGAAGGTAGCTAGCTACATAAACGCACAATTACTTCCTCCATCTGCATCATCACCAATCTTATGTAACATTCTTTTTTTTTTACGCTGCAAATGTTTTGATGGATGATTTTTCAATGATCTTCAATATAGACCCGAACTCATTTTAGAAATATTTTTGTAATGACCAAAATTAGATATAGGGAAACCTATTCCAATCGGAAAAATTGTTTCCTTGTTCTGCCAGTTATAAATGTCATTAGACAGGGTAAGTAGGATAACAAATCAGTCTACGAAGTGGCCCTGCAGTCTAGTAAAACCGTTGCCTAAGTTAAGTTGTATTCCATTGCAGTTTTCGCGTAAAACACTTGGCTTGCTTGGATGAAAGTCTTGGCAGTTTAACTGTATTCCATTGCAGTTTTCGCGTAAAACACTTGGCTTGCTTGGATGAAAGTCTTGGCAGTTTAACCCTATTCCATTGCAGTATTTCGCGTAAAATACTTGGCTTGCTTGGAAGCAAGTCTTGGTAGTTTAACTGTATTCCATTGCAGTTTTCGCGTAAAACACTTGGCTTGCTTGGATGAAAGTCTTGTCAGTTTAACTTCTTAAATGGTTACATTCAAACCTTTAACGTTTGCACAAAATGCAGGAAATATAGGGGCACTGAAGCGGAACGTTTTTGTGTGCTCCATATTCATTATGGCTTTTTTGTAAAACGTCTTAGCTTCATTTGATATCAAATGATGCCAAATCTCTAGTTACTGGGTAAAGCGTTGATTTTATAACAAAGAAAAGTGCCTGACATTTCCCTGATTGACTTGAAATCATTACCTTATTGAATGTTTAATCAAATCCATTTTCGGACATAAAAGTCGGAGCCTTAAAATCTTTTGGAGTATGTATGCACTAAACCTAAATCAATTATTTATTGAAGTTCAACGATATCATTATTATCTTACTCGTGGGGGTTTCATTTCGGAGGGGGAGATGAATATCTAGAAACCCCCCTCGATACGCTCCTGATCTTACTACAATAAATATTCTGGTCGATGTAGGGCATACATAAGTGGAATATGTGTTTACAGTGTGACTAAAACTGCACTGTGTTTCACTGGAATAATTACAAAAAAAGAGTTTAAATTTAAGAGAGGAAATTCCTTCAAAATAGTTTTGTTGATAAAATGTATATCAGAAAGTGTCAATATAAAAGTGTACTAAATTATCCACTTTGAGTAGTTCAACTCTTGTATTAAAAGTTTCATCATTACAAATTAAGTAAATATACCTAAACACTATAAATTAAAATAATAACATTTATCTTTAAGTCCGAAGATTAATGAGGAGTGCAGTATTCTACGTGGCTCCGACCTATATATTTTGCCACATCCTATACAGACATAACCGTTGTCCCCGCTGATTCTCTTTTCGCCTTCTCGGGCAGTCCTTGGCAGTGGATTTTCTTTTGTTTATGCATGCATACGCACACAAGTGTTCTTTTAAGGGTATAGGATTTACTAAAAAAAATAGTATCGTCGTTTAAATATGGAATGGTGCGAAAGCGTGTTGAAAGAGGAAGAGAGAGAGGGGGGGGGGGGCGGAAAAGATGGATCAATAAGAACAAAGATAGTATTGATATTTTTATTCTTTAAACCAAGATTAAATTACTTAGATTCTACGAGTTACAGTTTAGTGTTGATATATTAGTAAAGAGTCTAATGTTCTACTAACATCACAAATGTTGACATTAAACACACAGATTTCATATGGACAAATTATCGAAAAATATTCATCATAACAACTGACTTAACGTAATTAAAATAACTAGAAAAAAAACATATCTTGGCTGTTTTGGGGCAAATTATCTCTTTTCTACACAGAAACTAAACATTAAACAAGAAAAACAAAATAAAAAAAACTTTAAAAAAAAACAACTACAAAACCTCCTTTCAGCAACTTACATAGCGATTGTTTGTCTCTAAAACATTAATGAATGTTAGATTTAAAAACATTTTTAACCCGCCCACTCCCTCCTCTCTTCCTCCTACCGAGAAACAAAATCCTGGTTAAGAGAATGTCTAGATCTAATACACCTTTTAATATTGCAATGGTTAGCATTTAGATCTAGACTTAGAAGACAATGATCAAAATATTCCTAACATTAATTTTATTAA